CGCCTGGCATGCCTGTGGCCAGGGTTCGAACCTCAGCACCACATACAAACAAAGATGTTGTGTCCGCCAACAACTAAAAAATAAACATTAAAAATTTCTCTCTCTCTCTCTTTAAGAAAAAATTAAATAGATATGATTCAGCAACCCCACTTTTAGGTATATAGCTGAAGGATTTGAAATCAGTATGTCAAAGAAGTATCTGCAGTCCCATGTTCATTGCAGCATTATTCACAAGTCAATATACAGAAAGAAGCTAAATGCCTATCAACAGATAAATACAAGAACAAAATGTGGTATACACAATAGAATATAGCCTTAAAAAGGAAATCTTGTCACATGACACAACATGGACAACCTTGAGGACCTGTGCTAAGTGAAATAAGCAAGGCAGAGATAAATATTGTACGACTCCACTTTATAGGTGTCTAAAGTAGCCAAATTCACAGACATACCGATGAATGGTGTATGCTAGGGAGGAGGGGTGGGGGAGATGGAGAGTTTATTGGGAATAATTTTAATCTGTCAAGATACAAAAGTTCTGGAGATGGGATACACAAAAATGTGTGACACTTAACACTACTGAGCTATACACTTAAAATGATGAAGGTGGTAAATTTTATGTTATGCATATTTTACAATTTTTTTAAGTTGAAATATTTGTTTTTTTTGTTTTTTAAGTTGAAATATTTATCCCCACATCACCATGCCCCATACCATCAGCCACTGGTGAATGCTTATTCATTTTTCAACACACAGCTGAAATGTTTCCTCCTCTGCTGAGATTGGTGAGATTGTTCCCCTGCACATTAAACAACACTTAAACACTTATAACATTTATAACTTATAGTTAAGTATTGGTTTGCAGGTCTATTCCCACTATTATACACAATTTGGGGACAGGGACAGTGTTTCTCTCATCCCTAGTCCTGGCGCTTGGTAGGTTGAAAAGACCAAAGGAGGGTTTACTTAATCAGTTGGAAGTTTTGGTTCTCCAGACGCTCATAATGGAGGGTTATTTGGCCAACGGGGAGAGCGGTGTCGGGGAATGCGATAAACGTCCAGAACTTATTCTTATTCCCTACTCCCATGGGAATGCAGGAGCCAGCCTCACAACGCTCCGCTTCGGCCTCCCCCTGGGAGGGTCCGAGGGCCACCCTTACCCTGCCGCGGCAGGGCCTGCGAGCTACACCCGCCTGGAGGCCCAAACATACCTCACGTACTGGGCAGTCTGCTCTGGGCTCAAAGTCTCGCCTTTTGCCAAGCCTTGGGAGAGCTCCATGACCCTCAGATAAGATTCCAAGTATCTCCGTTGGAGCTTGAATTTCGCTCTCTCCCGCCCCGCGCAGGCTCTGTGCGTGTACGTGTGGCGAGAGGAGCCAACCGTCGGCCTCCAGACTCACCAATCCGTGGCTCCGTACTCTAGCTCCTCCCTCCCGAGCCCCGCTCACGAAGGTCGTGCGCCTGCGCCTAGGCGCGCGGTACCTGGGACGTCACGGTTGCGCTGCGCGGGAGGATTACGTCATCCTGTGACCCTCCTCGCATTTTCAATTCAGTGCATACCGGTACTGGGGAATTACAGTGTGCACGTGCGCGCTTGCGGGCTTGCCTGTGCTATCCTTATGAGTAGAGGTGGCCTGATGTGCTCTCAGTCGTGATAGTGGCCTCTAGAGACCTCCGCCGTATCATTTCCTGCTCGCCAGTTCCTGGCCCAGCACACTTTGAATTCAAACGCCCTGGAAGGTGGAGTACTGATGTCTTAAAGTCACATTGAAGAAGGGTCTTAAGGAACAAAGCCGGGCTGGGATGTAGCTTAGTGGCAAAGCGTCTGCCTTGCATTCGCAAAGCCCTGGGTTCGACCCCCAATTCCAAAAAAGAAAAAAAAAAAAGAACCCCACCAAAAAATAAATAAAATTTTAAATAAGATTAAAAAAAAAAAAACTTTGGGCCGGGGTTGTGGCTCAATGGTAGAGTGCTTGCTGAGCCCCCATAAGGCACTGGGTTCAAACCTCAGCACCACATTAAAAAAAAAAATGAAATAAAGATATTATGTCCACCTACAACTAAGAAATAAATATTTTTTTTAAAAAAAAGGAACAAAGTCAAGGCAGTCTATAATCTCAGCTGCTAGGGAGGCTGAGGCAGGAACATCCAGGCCAGTCTCAACAACTTAGCGAGACCTTGTCACAAAAAAATAAAAGGAGCAGGCTGTGTTGGTCCCCTTCTGTAATCCTAGCTAGGAGAATGGCAAGTTCTAAGCCAGTCCCAGCAATTTAACAAAAAATTAAAAGGATCAAGATATGTAGCATGTGGCTCAGTAGTAAAGCGCCCCTGGGTTCAATCCTCAGTCCCCAAAATAATTAATTTTAAAAAGCCAAAGTTCTCATTTTAGAAATAAGTGCAGTGATTACTATTTGTTTAGGAGCACCTGCTGAGATGCAGGCAGATTGTTGCTGAAAGCTTGGTCCGAGTCCCTGATGCCAATCCAATAAAGGAACGTGGTTTTGAGAAAAGAAAAAAGAATGTTTTATTTCTTTGCTAGCAAAAGAGAAACACAGGAGACTCCTGTCCCAACGGGCTGTGATTCTGCCCATCAGCAAGAACAGGGGGCTTTTTAATTTTGGGGGGGGGGGTTGTGGTGCTGGGGACTGAACCCAGGGCCTTGTGCGTGCAAGGCAAGCACTCTACCAATTGAGCTATATCCCCAACCTGGGGAGTTTTGGGGTTTTTTTTAACATTTTTATTAGTTGTTGAGGGACCTTTATTTTATTTATTTATATGTGGTGCTGAGAATCGAACCCAGTGCCTCAAAACATGCTAGGCAAGTACTCTACCACTGAGCCACAACCCCAGCCCAAGGAGCTTTTTTTAAAGAGGCGATTAAAAGGCTACATTCCATGAGTTCTCTGTTGGAGTTGCAATTCACTTGTTTATTTGGGAGATAGTCATTTCTGAGATCTTCTGGTACCATCTCCAAAATTTGTATTACTTGCAAAAGCAATTTTAAGCAGGAAGTGTGAATCAGGCGGTATAGCGATACCAGATTTCAAACTATATTACAGAGCAATAGTGACAAAAACAGCAT